AGAAAATGACTGATATAGATCCTTTCCCCATAAGTTATTATGATCTGGCTTCTGCTAAAGTAATTAATGGCTGGAACCTTGATTGAGCTGTTCAGTATTTCTTAGTTTGCCTTGGCCCTTCCCTTTGAGGTTTTGAGAAAAAGGTTATCTTCCTTCTTGAGAGGCCTCAAACCCTTGTCGTGGAAGGGCTGGCTATATGTTCTTTTGACAGGATCCCAGCCCAAGGAGTTGTGTTGTGGCCATGTGGCTGCTGTGTTGTGCTATGGAATTGTCTTTCTTCCCTTCCTTTTGTGTTCTGTGCTATAAAACGGTGCTGATAAACCATATGGGGGACCTGAGAACTTGCCCTTGGCAGAGTGGCCAAGGAGTGGCTATAGCTGGATCATTGCTCTCTGTGTCATTTGGACTTGTGATGCATGTATATAGTTGGCATGTATATAGTGACTGTTCTGATAGAGGGGTGTGTGTTGGGATCACGGCCTGTCACCACAAATTCATCTCTTCCTAAGGATGTGGGTGGCATGTAGACATCATTAGTGCTGTCCCTGGTTTGGTGGTCTTTGGTGGATTCTGGGGGTTATGTAGCAAGGCCTGTCATTTTATCGCCAGCTGGGTATTTCTCAAATTATGTTTCCCATTCTCCTTATGAGCCAACTCTGGTATAAGAACAGTATACCTCCCATCACTGACATAACTGGTGTGTATAACAGATTTCCCCATATGCTTGCATATGTGGAAGTTGAGTCATGGCAAATGGGCTTCTTTCTTGTTAGGTTGAAATGTTCTGCTACTCCTCCAAGTAGCTTCTTCAGTCTGAGAAGAGTTGGTAGGAGATCCATGATATATCCTCCACATTGGTTTCACTTCCCCCTGGTTTGAATAGGCTCGTTAGAAGGACAAAGACCGAGGGTGAAGGATGATCCCACTTCTGCAGTCCTTTTCCACCCATTACCTTAGGTTGTTAATAGTCATTTGATGACCAAGATGCACTCAGTCTGGACTGAGAAGATAGGTGGTTTGAGAGAGGAGTCAGGGAGGCCATACATGTGCATATAGAAAATCCCTCACTCAACAGAGGTGCAGGCCTTTGACACAATCTGTCTCCTATTTATCATGCTGCCCTTTCATCTGTCCCCAGAAAGATTAGGACCACACACACACACCAAAAAGACCACTGTTAATGACTGTTAACAACCCATGACAATGGGTGAAGAAGGATTGCAGAAGGGGGATTATCACTCACCCTCAGTCCTTTGTCCTGCTAACAAGTTGAGCCTATTCAGACGAGGGGAAAGTGAAACCAACTTGGAGGCAGGGAAAAGTGAAACCAACCTGGAGGATAGATCCAGTATATCAGGGATCTCCTACCAACTCTCCTCAGACTGAAGAAGCTACTTGAATGAGTAGCAAAACATTTCAACCTAACAAGAAAGATGTCCCGTTGTCATGACCCAACTTCCAGATAACCTCACCTGGATGACTGAGAATCTTCACATATATGTGTTCGCATAGATCTCTGTGTAAACAGTGGACAGTGTCATATCTAAAGCTGGGTCTTTCATTTAAAAATGAAAGGGGGAAATGTGAAAAAAGGCACTTTTGAGTTCTGTCAAGGATTCCTGAAGGAAAGCTTCTTAAACCCAAAGGATTCGTTTACATGAAAGAAGGAAACATGAAAATTTTGTGTTTTTTTTGTTTTCCCCCTCTTTCATTAAATGTTTTCTTCATCCAAACTGCCCCACCCATTTTTCCTCCCCTTGATGCCACCGCTACCACCACACTCCTTGCCCTGCTGCCAACCCTACAGTTTTCCCTCTCTTTCCGTCTGTCAGTTCCCCTGCTACCATACTCCATACTCTCCTGTTAGCCCTGCTTTCACCTCCTCCTCCTCTCCTAATTGTCATTGTCACCAATAGCATCAAATGGGGGGAAAAACAAAACATGCACTTAACATATTGAAGTATGGGTGAAATATTATCTTTTGGAGTGTGGAAACAAACTCCTGCTTGAGCATATCAGTATAATTCACAATACAAGTCAATTAATTAACTGAATTTTAAAGGGATCTCCCAGGGACCAATGATGGCTCATGCAGTCTTATTCTACAGGTTTTTTTTTCTTGAAACAAGACAAAACAAAACAAGCAGTTAAAAATAAAACAGAACTGGGGAGGCAAAAGAAACTATTAATGTAAATATTTTTTTAAAGCAGGCAGTGATTAAAAAACAACAACTCTAGACCATATTTCACTTTCTTTAAAGTGCACCATTGGCATATGACTTCCATAGAAGCTGGACAGTCATATGGAGGTCGGTTCTTGGAGAGAGAGAAATCTCCTCTGCCCCTGCATGCGCAGATACACGGCTCCTCCCACGCATGCACGGATGCCCCCCACTCCACCCCCCACGTTAAACCAGTCCATGGAGGCAAAAAGGCTGGGGGACAATGCTCTAAGGGTTCATCTGAATGGAGTATCTGTACCCCTTTTAGTTCCTTAACAAGCATGGATTGTAAAAGAAATTCTCCTGACATCCAGACAATAGTCCTCTTATCTTTCCTTCCACTGCTTTTAAAAAGGGCTCCTAGACATTTTGAGCCTCCCTAAATCCTTGGTTTATTTTCTATATTGTTTTGTTCCGAAAGTGGAGGCTAACATCGTCAGTGCTTCCCATTTGCAGTGGATGCTCATGGTGGGAACCTCTTCCTTGGAAACTCTTGTTTTCCATTACCTTTTAATCTAGAAAGCTCACAGTGGTACCAACTGAAATTGGGCTGTGCTCCAGGAAGGTGCAAGCCCCTGTGAAAAGGTTACCAGCTTCCAAGTTAATGCTGTAACACCTCTTGTCTGATAGACAACAGCTTAGACATGAGGCATGTTAAAACTCATGCTTTTTCTACCGTAAGCAACAGAGAGAGAGAGAGAGAAATGAGGCAGCCCCATGTGTAAGAGACCATTATCTTGGGTTTAAGAAAAATAAGCAAATACCAGCCATGTGATTGTAACTCATAAGAATTAGAAACAAGTTAATCTGATGCCTACATGTCCATAACCACACCTTTAGCCTTCATTATTAGAGCTCTAGGCATTAAGACAAGCATTTTTCTGTCTTGCTTTCTATCTTGCTTTCTAGAGCTCTTACTTTACACAGTTGTCTAAGATGTTTCATTTGGCATATTCAGGCAATTCAGACGAAACATACAGGCATCTTGTGGGGGTGAATGGGAGAACTCATGGACATTCTTGAATACTGGAGGACCACCATTATTATGACCCTACATATGCTTAGTTAATGCCACTAAGGAAGGGAGCATCTGTATAAATTCACATAGGATTTGAATGCCTGTTCTCTTTAAGCTTAGGAAGTGTGCACATGAAAAGGAGAACGACCAGCTCTTCTGGTGGCACAGAGCTGAAATCTCGTTTGGTTCACCTGTCAACAAAGAGTATCAGTTGACTGATTAATTGGCCCTGGGAAATACTAATACTAATAATACTAATACTAAATGCAATCTGCATGCATTTTAAAATGAAAGTCCTTCTCCCACCAAACTAGTGAGGGGGTGGACTATTAGCTGTTGCAGCTTTCTCTCTCTCTTTCCCTCCCTCTTCTTTTTTTTATCCTAGTCTTTAATCCCAGACTTGGCTTGTTGCGCTTCAAATTGAAATATCCTGAACAGATGTAAAAACACATGTGAGCCACTGCTCGCAAGCTGTGCAAAGCTTTGTTTCATCTGCTGATGATGTGAGCCTAAAGGAGATCTTTTTAAAATTTCATCACTATTCAAAAGGATAATTAATACGTACCCCCAGGCTTTGATTATGCTATACCCAGTGTGTACTGCTGGTACAAAAATAATGAGGCTCTCATCAGGACGAATGAACACTTGCAGCAAACATTCAGTTTCCATAAGAAATTTAAGATTCAGCAGTGGTACCATGTAGGTGGCTTAATCTAATTTTAATTTGTAACACAATACAATAGATAAGATCATTTGTTTGTAACCAGCGCAGGCATTTTGTTTACATGAAACCCCAGTCAGCATTCAGCAGATGGTCTTTTTAAAGGCTTAATTGAAGTTTTCTAATCTAACATTTTTTCCTCCATTATGAAACGTGGAGAGAGAGAAAGAGAAAGAGAAAGAGAAAGAGAGATAGATAGAGAGAGAGAGAGAGAGAGAGAGCATTCAGTGACAGGGAGACTGAGACAGAGAATTGTGTGCAAACGGCTGCTCAAAAATTTCTACACTGAATTATGTGAAGAGAAATTGGAGAAAATATTTAACTAAATAACTAAAACTCTCCATTAGCTTTTCAGACACGGAGCTCATTATCAACAGGGGTAGAAGCATAGTTTCCCCCCCAGAATAAATGTTTATTTCCTCCCTCTTTTTCCCCTGCTACTTGCAGTGACAGTAATGGCACCTATTTTGGCAAGCTGGCTAGCATTTTTTAATTCTGTCATATTTTTAAATGAAAATAAAAAACACATTTTTTAAAATGATCAATATTCGTCAGTACGTAGATTCATATACTGGCTACCATTTTACATCCTTCACAATATCTCATGCCTTGTGTTATTCTGGGCACTACATACCTAGAGCGAAGAATAAAAATGGTGCTGAAAATTTGGAGAAAACTACCAAATAGCCTGTTTTTTTTAAGGAGTAGTCTCAGAACATTCTTTAGAAAAATGCCTTCTGAGAAATTTTGGATCAGCACTAGTTGTCATTCTTCAGTATTCAGAACCCTATCTAGTGTCTCTTGAATAGGTCATGGTAAACACATCTTATCTCTGACACAGATGCTTATAATATTGCTTCTCCCTGTGTTCCATTTATGAGTGAGGTTAGTGTTGTGTCCAGCTCTGGAGCAAATACTGTACGAAAATTTGTCTTCCAGTTTCCAGTTTTTCCTCCTACAGAAGAGACTTCCATTGTTCTGCATAATTCAGGGGCACATAAATCAAGACACCATTTCAATTTGTTTTGGTAGTGTCTTTGAGTTTATTTTATCATTGCAAGATGACTGAGGATAGTATGAATATTGGTGTTGGTGTTGCTTTAATTATTCACCATCTCTTCATCATTCTTCAATTCCCTGGCTGACCATGCTTCCCGATCTGAAAAAGCTCCATGGGAAACATTCCCTTACGGCATCTTCTCCTATGGGAAGCCCGGTCAACTGTCAGCTGCCAGACAGCTGATTCTATAATGAAAAACAAGACATTCACACATGTACTCCTTGGCCGACTCATGTACAAGGTAAGTCCAAGAAGCTAGAATGTCACTCATGAGAATTTCACCTGTTTCTTCATGTGAACATTAATTTCTTTTGATTTAATGCAATAAGTTCTTTATTCCTTTTTGTTCATGTCAGAAGCACCACAGTACAATTAATAAATATCTCAGATTAAGGCCAACGGAGTACTCCTGGAAGAATAGCGTGCAATGGGTTTAAAAAATTGTGAATTATTATGGAACTGTGCTTTAAAAAATAGCATAACACCATTGTATGGAAATGTATGGCAACTGGGAACAGAACAAGTCCTTGTTACACATAGCAGTGAGAACTCTGGAATGAAGACACAAAGATTTTGAACATCTGCTGAGATGCCTGGCTAAAACCCACATATATAGCTATTTTTCCCATGCAAAGGCTAAGGGAAATAGAAAATTGGCTTCTTTGGTCCTTTTGATGTTAACTTCCAGGTTTTTATAAAAGCATACAAACCTGCTTTGTCCTTCTTGCATCCTCCCAGCAGATTATAAAATGTTTATTTCTTCCAATAGTTTCTGTTTTGTCTTTATCCAGGTCTGTCTCCCCTGTCCTTTCTCTTATCACATTGATAACAATAACCTTTTTACTGGCTCCTAGTTGCTTTTGGAAGACATCCAGTGATGTGTGCAGAGATAAACATTCAAAGATGATGGTGAAAACATGTTAGTGTTTTGCAGGTATTTCAGATGTAAGGAATGGTTTACTTCTTGTTTAAAAGGTGGAATAAAGACCTCTTCTCCTCCAAAATTAATAATCAAGAACGCAACAGGGGAAAATCCAACCTTAAAGTAAGGATATGATATACAATTGCATTTCCTCACAACGGCAAAAAAACCTAACCAAAATTAAGCATTTTTGAGTCTTGGTGATTACAGAGATAACATTTGAAGCTGTATCCGTGGGATCATTAAGTGCTCAGTCATGGCTGGATCACATCCAGTCATATGCATACATACTGACATCTACCCATTTTCTACATCTGGCCACCCTTTTAAAGCCCCTTGTGTTCAGCAAAGGCTTATACCCAAGTAACACTGCACAGGATCACATCCTAATATATGATACCATTATTTAGTCAAAATGGCGCCTCGTGATGCACATGTAGTGAAGTGCCTGATTGCTTTGCTATATGCTTAGTTCACAATGCCACACACTTTTATTGTACCACTGCAGAATTACATTTAGTACTAGGCATGGGACTTCCTGGGTTTCTGGACTGCAACACCCAAAATTTTCCAGGAACTTCCCCCAAAGAGAAACCTGGGAGCTGCAGCCAAAAAATAAACAAACAAACAAACAAACAAACAAACAAACAAACAAACAAACAAACAAACCACTTAAGAGGTATCTCTTCACACCTATGCTGTTATACCTTTTTCCTGGGAGTGGTGCAAGGGTTCATGGGAATCTCAAAGGAAAATAAGACTGGTAGTTCTTTGAGATGTGCTTTCTACAGAGCCTAAAAAGCAGTGAGACTATCCATCCCAGGAACCCTTCCACCATTCACAGGCACTAAAATGGCAAATTGCCATCTTCTTGAAAGGCCAGTACAGTGATGCCTCGCAAGACAAAAATAATTCATTCTGCGAGTCATTTTGTATTGCAAAAATTTCATCTTGCGAAGCGTGGTTTCCCATAGGAATGCACTGAAATTTAATTATAGTGAGGTCTTGACCTATGGAATTAATCCGTATTGGAACGGGGTCCGTAGGTCGAAAAGTCCTCAGGTTTATTTATTTATTTCATTTATACCCACCTATCTGGTCAATTGCAATAGGAATGCATTGAAAACACATTAATTCGTAACCCGCCCAAGAAACACCCCCCCACATACACATACACAAATTAAAAATAATTTTTTTAAAAAATTTCCTTAT